TTTAAATGAACTAAAATATTAAGAAAATTAGTTACGTACAAATTAAAGGTTACAGCAGAGGCTGCAGAGCTGCCAAGCATGGTTGTCGTGATGATTAACTAGTTTGGATCTGCCGTACATAATAATAACAACATTATTAGACAGACAATTAGCACAGAAGAATGTTAATTACTCCATGATAATATCAGTCACGCACTGAGGTTGTTCCATTTTGACATCCTTTAATTTGTTTCCCGTTGAATGCTAATTAATTGCATGCCCCATTGAATTGGGTTGCATGTCCTCCTCCAACTTTCCATTTTTAATTCCTAGCTCCTTCCCACGTTCGTAATCCATTCCGTAATTGCCTAATTAATCTAATTAATGGCGGCTTAGAGCTAACTAAAACGGATTACGGATGCCTAATCTATATTTTGCCATAAATATACTCCGCACTACAGAATACTACCGAGCCTACGTACTACACATTGCCTAATCTAATGTCTAGCAATGCATAATAGTCACACATTTTGTGGGGGGTTACGGCGGGGTTGGAGTGGGGGTGCAGGAGTGGGGGGTTTAGGGGGTGGGTTAGGGGGTAGGAACCGTCAATTTTACGAACGGAGCATCGGAGGTGCTCCAAAAACCCAGTGGCACCAGAGGGGCACCGTTTTCCGGTGTCACTGGAACCTGACCGGAAAACGTGAGGTGAGAATGCACCTTGGTGAAAGAAATAAGAATAAAATCTAGCCCTTGGATCTGATGCATCGTGCGGCTCAGATTGCATCCTACACTCAGATTTTGATATAGTGCATTTTTAAAGGATTTTGGTGCATTTCGACATGATGCATTTTTAAATCATTTTGGTGCATCTAATTTTAATGCAATCCTAACCCTTAGAACTCACAATCTAGAGCACCAGATTCATTCTTATTTCTTTTATAAGATCGCATTCTCACTTGAACACACACACACACACACACACACACACACACACATATATATAATTACATCTAAAGTTCTATAAAATGACGGGTGACATGATTATATTATCTCATGAAATAAATAGTGAAAATGATAATGAAAGTAATATAAATTTAAATTTGTAGTTAATAAATAGAGGACTCAAATTGATACGAATGAAATATAGGAATTAAAAGAGATGAATTTCTCTTTCTCTTCAAAATTAAATTTCGATTTACGATGTTTGACTGACATTAATTTCAATCCATTTTATATCTAAATGGAAACGGCAACTAACTAACTATGGCTCTTGGCCCAAACAACATCTTAGGCGTAGGGGAACATGGAACGCCTAGACGATGTTTCACTGCTGGCTGCAGTAAGTAGATTGAGTGGTCATTTTCGCCCCTTTTCTCTGAATAAGGATATTTTTTCTCAAAAAATATTGCTCCAATATGACCTAGATGGCGAGCGAACCTAGCTCACGACAGAGAACAAGACAACAAGCAAGCATACCTTTGTTCTTCTCCACTAAGCACAAAAGTTTAAGAATAACTGTAGGTCGGTGGCTACCTTAGGAAACTCCTATTCGATCTGTCTCCTGGCTGGGAGGCATCTACATCATCTCGATCACAAAGATTGGTGTAAAATTTAAAAATAAAATGTATATATTTCAATTTAAATCTAAAATTTATAAAATAATAGATAAATGACTATATTATTTTGTGATATAAATAGCAGAAATGATAATAAAAGTGATTATCGAGTAAACAGCCTCCCCAGACCCTACTGTTGTGGGATTCACCTGAGTTGTTGTTGTTGCTGTTGATAATAAAAGTGAGTACCGAGTAAAATTTAACCTTACAACTTAAATTTAGACCAAATCAATACAACAATTAGAAGAGATCTAAATATAAATTTTTCCATAATTATTGGGAGTGACTAGTTAGGCTAAGACCTTGTTTGAAAACAGCGTTAGAGATTAACATTAGTGATTTTGATAAAATTTTAACGATCTAGATTAATTCTAAAAATGTTAATGTTAAACAGCACCATCAAATAACTTTTTCAAAACACTAATGCTAATCTATTGCCTTGATTCCAAACAAGGCACAATCACATCCAGGTTGTTCTCTTGTGGGACTGGATGATAAGGCCGGCCTTCGGGTACTTGTCCACATCGTTTCGTCTCCTACTCCACTATTATCTATGGGCCATACCCTACACTACTTAGTTAGGGCACCTACTATCTACCATGATAAAAATGTTTTTTTTATGGGTGGATAATGATAAAAAAATCTTTGATACCATGAATTTCTAAACTTTAATCAGAATTATATTATATACTCCCTACATCTCCATATAGATCACACTTTCTCAAAGACGTGCAAATAATGGGTGTTTTAGAAACCTATTTACTTGTATTTAACAAATTAGTAAAAATATAAAAAATAAAATATATAGTTTCTTCTTTTCTAAAAGTTATCACAATTTGACTTTTTTATCAAACTGTAGCATCTTTTGACCGTGAATTTTGGAAAAGTATATTTGTTGCAATATAAATTAAGTAAAATTGGGTTTATTTGAAAATATAGTTTTAGAATATTAAATTTTTATAATATTTAATTATTTTAAACTATATTTAATTTATTATCAAAGGATGTCATAATTTGACGAAAAAGTCAAACTGTATCATTTTTTATGGACAAAGAGAGTATATTTAATATTACGTTAATAGTTTCATAAAATCCAAAAGATATTAAAAAGTGCTCCCTTTATCCATGGTTTCAAGCTGATTTTTTGTAGTTGTTTTTAAGAGTTAAATGTAGAGATTTACTAAAAGGGTTTTTCTCTCATGCATTCAGAATTAAGAGAGTATCCATGCCCTTCCACTCACTAATTGACATTTGTATTTTTGATTTAACATAATACTACAAACTTAATTGATAAGTTTCTTTTAATTCCTAGAAATTACAAAGTTTACCCCATCTCAACCTATGCTTTTGTTTCCCTACGTTCTACAACAGTTCAATAACTTCGACTAATTTACGAGTATTTTATTATTATTATTATTATTATTATTATTATTATTATTATTATTGCTATTATTATTACTCTTTTTATATTATTATTACTATATTATTAATACTCCATATTACTTTTAGTTTTATTTTTATTACTTTTACCATTTATTATTATGGTTTTTGTTATTATTATTTTGTTTATTTATTTCTCTTATTTAACTTTTTCACTTATAATTAAGTTCTTTTCTATTGAGCTTTATGACCATATTCTCTTCACCTGATCTGATTGGTTCTGATCTTATTGAAATAAGTTATGATCTGACCTGAATGCAGTTATATTTAAAACTATTTTGATCTGATCTGATTTGATTTAATTCCAATAAAAAATAATAAATAATAAGAATAAGTTGAAAAATACATGACCCAACTCTTGACTTTTATTTTATATTTTCTAATTTCATCTCATTTCTTCTCATTTTTTCCAAACTTTAAAAGTTTCTGTTAATTAATACTCCCTCCGTTCCACAAAACTCTTCCCCTTTCGTTTTTTTGAATTCCATAAAACACTTCCACTTTCTATTAAAAAACCACTTTTACCCTTACTTTTTCATACCCTACCTATCACATCAAACTTTTTCTCTAATAACCAAACTATCACATCTTACTTTTACCCATCACATCAAGGGCAAAATTGGAAAGTCAACCAAAATTACACTTTCCTTATTTTTGCCAAAAGTCAAAAGTGAAGGGTTTAAAGGAACGGAGGGAGTAAAAGTTTCTTTCAAATCTTTCTAGTTTTACTTTTTCCAATAATAACCTAATTTTTTAGGTGTATTTTTCATATTATTAGTATAACTATATTTAATATTAGTATCATCATCGTCATCAATGTGAATAAAATAAGAATTAATTGAAATATTTTCAGAACATATATAAAAAATATTTTCTTTGTCTTTGAAAGAAATTTCCGTTAATATTCTAGAGTTAACATACACCGTAGTTTATTAAAATCTTAAAATAGTTCATATATTAAAAAAAGCATACTTAAAAATAAAAGTTAAACATTTGAAATAAATAGAGCACAAATTAATTTTAAAAATAAAATAAAATTTAAGAAATATACTCCATTGGTCCACAACTCAACTTCACGGTTAATATTCTAGGTTCTCGATAATTTTTGTTTATTTGTATATTTTTATTAATAATTTGATAAAACAAAATATTTATATAATATCTTGTTTTATAAACTTTTGATATACTTTTAAAATATGTAATTTTTATATTTTTTTTCATACCAATTTATGAATAACATATTTTTAATCAGATGAGATTTTGCACATTAGAGAATTTTAATTTGTAGATGAAGGGAGTAATATTTATTTCAACAATTTTCAATTTTATCAAACATTTGTCAACTTTTCCCAATTTTTCCATATTCTTACCCATTTTTGAAATTTTCAAATTTTTTCCAACTCTTTTTTCTTTGAATTCTCTCTTGTTTTTTTAAACTCATTTTGGTTTTTAAATGAAAAGTAATTAAATAACAAACTAACAGAATAATGAGATTGAGAAAATTAAATAGCAATTATTTTAGTTAAATAATAAATGGTGAGTTAATTAAATAAGAATTAATAAATAATTATTGAGTAAAATAATACTTGTAATTATCTAGGAAACGTTAAAAAAAGATAAATAGTTGATAAAATAATAATTAATACTGAGTAATAATAAATTCCTTAGGCACACACTACACACACACACACACACACATACTCGGTATATGAAATCATGTTACACTCATGTCAACCGAGATTAATATTGTGTGTAAATTTGTTTTCATATGCCATTTTTTGCCAGTAAAAACTTTCTCAAATTAATATTGCATGTCAATCAATTTAGCTCTCATCCTGTCACTTCAGTGGTGAATAAAAAAAACGACCGAAGATACCCTTCTACCGGACATCTAGTAGACTGTCCCAGGATATTTTATAAATGAAACTAGTATTATTTTAAAATTATTGATAAAAGGGTCATTTAACACCCTTAAAGGCCAATGGTTAGCATAATAGATGATTATATATAGACTTAAAATGTATCAATGGATAGCACATTACATATATACTCATTACATGTACAATGGGTTCGTGAATCCTGACATTGTTTGAGCATATTCCTGATTTGCTATGTACGGAATGCCAGTGTTTCTGAGTAAATCCCAATGAAGGGGAAATAAATAGCTAGGGAAAACCCCCCCAAAAAAATCGTGAAACTAAACAAAAAAAATTATGAATAAACCAATTACAGAATGAATGAATGCTTAGCTTATAGATTTGTTGTGGGTTTATTATTAGTTTCTGCTGGGTTTTATCCTTTTCCTGGCTTGCCCGGTTTCCTCCCCCGCATTTGTAACTGTGGAGCGTAGTATCGGTTCATTGTTTGTGGAAACATCGTCTCCCTAAACATAACACCATCGATCATATAGTGTTGTTAGATCACCGGCTCCGTAAATATAAAATTTATTTTAGGGCGGACAAAGAAATAGAAGTCCCTCTTAAATTTCTTACCAATGCTCAAGATTCTCGAGATAGGGTCTAAAAACTAGGAACTCATTTAATTGCTAGCACTTCAATTCTATAACTTGACTTCTTAGATTACAAATTATAAGAGGGAGGTTATGGATTTGTGATTGAGTGTTGTTGAGAATTAGGAGTCTGTTTGTTTAAGGACTAAAATGGTCAATGGCTCCTAGACTGTGCTTGAAATGGCTGAATCCTCAATATATTTTTTTTAAAAAAAATCAACCAAAAGGTAACTACTTCATATAAATTTAATCGAAGAAGAACAAGAAGATTGCGTGAGAAAAGGTGGACAAACCTTGATCGCGGAAGGAGGAGAGTTTAATCGACCGTTTGATCTTTTCCCAAGATCAACGTGCACTGAGATGCAGGCTTGGGAAAGGTCCACACCAGCACTATGAAGGGCATGCGTGAGACTACTCAACAACCTGATGGAAAATGGCAGTACAATTTAGATTTCTTAAACTAACATGTTTTCAACTATAATACAACACTGTCTTACAAATACATATTAAATGCTGATTCTACCCAAAAAAAAAAACAAGTCCTAGAGTACTACAAAATAAGGCGCCATTGTTACCCAAGAAGATAGATGTATGAAACTCTTGGAAAATGAGAGGAATTCTTACCCTTGTGAATAGATGCTTGAAATGCTGATTGTGCCGCTCTCTATACTTGGGTTTTGATCTTTTGGTTCGTCGCCCAAAATGGCGTGGTTAGGTAGAGAAGGAGATTGATGCTGGAAAGTCGGTTTATCTTTATCCGATGCCAGTTTGGGAAATGTTTGGGATGCCGCTATGCTACTCGTCCCGCAATGATGAGACATGTTTGGATTGAATGGTAGAGGCACGGATTGGTGATGATTGGTAGTTACATCTTTTACCAAACACGTCCTTGCTTCTGGTTCGGCTTTCTGTCCATTTATGAGAGGTAGTACAGGTTTAGTCTCCGCATATCTTGAAGCAAACATTAGGGCTGGATCAGACACATTGTTCGTTATATGCGGATGGTTAATGAAACCTTGCGCCCCTGTTTGACACTTGTTCTGTTTCACAAGAACCATAAATGAAGCACCAATATCAAGAAACAAGTATAAATGATACGGAGGAGATATTATAGACAAAATATATAGATCAATTACCCATGGAAACTTTGTGGCTTCGTGTTCCCAGCCTTGGTATGATCCTTCATACTTCTGTACCTTGTCTTGTAGAAACTGAATGTACTCAATGACCTGCAAAAAACAATCACATTACAATTTTATAGCCAATCTTAAGTGTGAGACTGAAATTCGAAATGGGAAAAACAAATCGATATGCACAAACCTCCAATAAGAATGATGCCTTGTCTCTCTTTTGGTCACTGTGTGGGATGATGCCCCTCAACATCTGAAATCTGCAGAATGAAATAGAAATGATTTTTTGAACATTAAGCAAAAACTTGCGCATTACAAATATTTACTTGCATATAAGCTTTAACATTTCGTCCATTGCCAAAGGACATAAAAACGTTTGATTTAAATAGTAATGTTTTAGCTTCAGGTAAATAATGGACAAAAACAAAAATGGCACATTAAACTTCCCACTTTCTTAATTTCATTGAGTTTTGGGAAGTAAATGCAATTGCATCATGAGTCTAACAAAAACAAACTCTCAGTTTTTTACAGTGGTAAGATTGTGTAGATCTTGACACCCTAGATTCGAATAGAGTTGAGATTGTACTAGATTTGTTGTTGTTGTGGATATGCTTTAACATTCCAATCAATTAATAAGATCGGTATCGTAAATCATGCCTGTCATTTATCTTGCTCCTTCTACGCTGTTCTGTTGCTGAGTGTTTAGAGCGTGGAGTATTGGGCTTCTGATTATTGAATTTTCCAAGAGTTTTACCTGATAGGTCTCCTGTGTAAAGAAAGATACTCATTACAATGAACCAACTATAAAGTCGATCGGCAACTACTTACCCCACGTATGTAGAGCAAAGAAATGAAAAACAAAATCAAAACCTTGTGGGAGAGGTGACGGCTCTTTCTTGATTGCAAACCCTTCATCTTCTTCTACATCATCCTCGTCTTGAGCACTTCTAGCCGAGGCTAACATATTTAAGAAACTTCTGTTGTTTTGAGCAGTCAATTGTCTGCAAGACAAGAAATATAAGTGAAACAAATCAGCTATGAAAATGACATTGTGAGAAAGAATTGAGGATGTAACTCACGGTGGGGAAGACAAGGAACTAATTGTTGCCGTGCTATTCCTATGGTTGGATGATGATACTGATGGCCATTCCATCACCGTGCGCTGCTGTGCTACACCGTTCACGCCTGTTTCCGTCCCATTAAAATTTTAGATCATGTTAAACATATTTCCTCAAATTACTGCTGAATCATCACTTCAGAAAATCTTTTAGTACACAACAAATATGAATGTCTTTACCTCCGAGAACGCGTCTCTCTACCAAAGTATTCTCCTTCTCCGTCTTTCCCTTGCTCACAACAGATTCATCCCACAAGGTGAATCCACTCCCAGTATAAGAACTGGAGTTTGAGTTCTCGTCGTTTACATCAGTAGTACTTGGGTGTGCCATAGAGAATATGCTGCCTTCTGGCTTTGGAACCCCTTGCAAATGAGAAATGCTAAAAGCTCCAATCCCACCATGAAGGTTAATATGCTGCTGCATGGGTGGAAGATGAGGCAGCAATGAAGGCTTTTCTACAACCTTAACTTTTCTTTCTTCCTTCCCAACAACTTTCTCTTCCAATGGTTGCAAGAAGTCATGAGTTCTAAGGAAATTTCCTGCTGATGAATTCACCAAGTAATGGTCATTTTGAAGATTATTCATTGTAGCGAATAAAAAGTCACAATTAATTTTGGACGAAGAGAGTAAATCTTAGCTGCAAATTTTTCATTCTTAATAATAGTCTAAACATTTTTGAAATCGGATGCCAAATGGAATATTTTGGTAGGCTCCATTTGGCATCAACGGTTAGAGGTTAGCGTTTTGAAAATGCTATCTAACAATAATACTTAGCATCTTCAAATAAAATTTCATCCAAAATGGTAACGCTCCCATAATATGGTCAGGTCTGTTGATTGTCCAAATAATTTGGTGGAGCCTACACAGGAATTGTCAGTGAGGCGGAAATTGGATGGGATGTGAAGTTTCAAGGCTATAGGAGGACAGTTTAACACAGCTTTTTGGAATCAACCAGTCGTGGGCCAGCCTAACAAGTAACAACTACCCCACACAGTATCTGGCCTAGATCCATGCCCCCTATCCGGCATTGATCCATCCATCATTAACTATTCATTATCCTCTCTCGTCCAAAATTTAGTTTGATTTCACACAAATTTTAAGAAAGATGAAATTATGTAGCTTTCCTATTAAAAAAATGTAAAGAGCTATATTGAACAAATACATTTAAGAAATACGTGAACACAATAAAGAATTTCTTCCCAGTACCTTTGTCTCTGAATATTTATTCAGTTGTGAGTTTTTGCAAAAAACCATTTTCAATTTTTTATTTATAATTAAATAAAATACATATTATATATTAATTAAATCAAATAATATTTTAAAAATATTTTACAAATTGAAATTAATAATATTATTTTTATATCAATGTCTAATCATCTTTATTTAATTTTTTAATCACTTTTATTTAATTTTTTACAAAATGAAATATTTAATCACTTTTATTTAAGTTTTTATCAAAACTTGACAATTTGACTAAAAAATAAAAAATGAACAAATATTCAGAGACGAAAAGAGCATTTTACTCCCTACCGTTTATGAGAGAAAATAGTCTGGTATCCACCCCATGATCACGATTTTTATTTAATGTTAAAAATTGATATTGTTATTGGACACTAATAACTTATTTATAATGTAATATCTTTCATTAGTTTCATATATTCTCTAAATTCATAAAAACACAATATCAATTTGTATCGTGGAAGAATTGCTCATTTGCTCTAAAATTGAGGGCCAAGATAGAAGGGTCCAATAAAAATGGTATCCTTATCTAAAATTACAAACTTTATAAACATCATTTGATATGACACAAACAATGATAAACGACCAAGCGCCGCTTGATATATTATGCACTTTTGGATCTGCTGATAAATAAAATCTTCAAAATCACTGCTTTGTGTTTTCTCACTTTAAAATAATGTTTCATTTTGTTTTCAAACAAATACTAACTCCGTTCCGGAATATTTGTCTAGTTTTGACTTTTTTCTGTCAACTATTTTCAACCTTTGACCTATAATTAAATAAAATATATATTTTATTTTAATTAAATAAATTAATATTTTGAAAATACTTGATATAATAAATCTAATAAAACTCTTTTTGTATCAATATCTAATATTATTTTTATTTAATTTGGGGTCAAAGTTTACCAATTTTGACCAAAAAAAATCAAAAGTGGACAAATAATTAGGGACGGAAAGAGTATTTAACTCCGTTGGAATTAGAACATATTCACCTCACTTATTCTTACCACTTATATTACCTAGATCAAATTAAAAATATTTTTGAACATAAGGTAGTTATAATCATACCCGACTAGACCAAAGATGCCCCATAGAAGCTTGAATTGGCTTGATTGTGATTAGCCTTAACATATTTTGAAATTGTATTTTTTAATTGTCTAAATAAATATTAAAAGCTCTAGAAATTGTCTAAATTACTAAACTGAAATTACTAATATCAAATGGCAAATTCTTTCGTGAACTTTATACTCATACCCATTTCGTGTATTGGGTCTTATAAAAAAGAAACATCCAACAAACAGTAACAAAAATTGACTTGTGTGTAATTTTCTTTTTAATTTTATACGAATTCATAAATAAAGTAATTTTAGAAGTGATAGAACTTTACATATTATTCTAACAGTAACAAACATTTTGGGATGAAAGTAATATATAATGCAGAGTAATTTCTTTATTTTCCTTTCTCAAATAAAAAACTAAACAAAAACTTCCCGTCTAGATTTTCCCCCTCAAATATCTATTCCTTTTCATAGTGTGTTTGGTTTAAGAAATTTGAAAAAGAAAAAAAAATCTTGTTTGGTTAGAGATTAAAAAATAAGAAAAGTGAAAGGAAAAACAAATGTAAGAAGAAATAAATTAAAAGGAAACAGATTTTTTCCCATTTTTCTTTTTTCGAATTCCACGAATCAAGCATACAGCGTCAGTAAAAGTAAAAGTAATTTCGCAGAAAAAGTACTATTCTCCGTACCGAAATTATCGTCGAATTTCAGATACGGAAGCTTGAGTGAAGTTATTTCAATTCAATTTATTTAAACGATTGGGAAAATAAACAGATTAAAGAAAAAAAGTCCCACCAGTGAATAATGAAACATTTTGGGATGGAAGTGGAAATTATTCTTGCGTTGGAAAAATATATATATATATATATACCTTGGCCGGGTCTTGGATCCTGCTCCGTAGGCGAATATAGAGAAAGGAAGTCATGCGTGGTAGCCGATCTTCCTGTCCAAAAGATTGAAGAACACGCCATTCAAATCCCTTTTTTACCGAGTCCCGCTCGCGGTAAAATGAGCAATTTTAAAGTTTGACAACAATATCTTTTAAAATATACAAGCAATTTTTTTTTTGAAAAATAGTACCCCTAATTTAATTACAAATTGTTAGTTTTTCGTCTTTTGAAATTATTTTATTTAAAAATTGATATATTAATAAAAAATAAAAATAAATATTTAAAAACTACATCAAAATTTCTATAAAACAAAGTGTGACAATTATATTTTATTTTATCAAATATTTAATGAAAGCACATAAATAAACAAAAGTTATCGAGATTATATAGAAAAAAATTGAAGTTAAAATTGAGATGAATAAAGTATATAATTAGTCAAACATTTCACAAGCAAAGAGAAATGAAGAGTTAAATAAAAATGAGAATGGAGTATCTCACAACAGAAAAAGAAACAGGGTGCCATTTTAAAAAAATCACATTTTCTTTTTTGTTCATAATAAAAAAGGTTTCACTTCCTATTTCTAGAAACAATATTGTAACTTCTGCAATTGCTCTGTGTCCATTTCTATTAAACAATTTTACTTTTTTTTATCTTTATGACAAGCAAAAATCAAATGTGGAACCTTTTTTTACTGTGTATTGAAAAGTAAAATAAAGTTACCATCGGTTCCGAAAGCTCGCGGCTGAGGCAACTCCATCGCCCTCTTCGACCGTCTGGTATTCGACAAATCCCCGAAATTCAACAGAATTCGACGATTCAGATGCGTTATTTCTTCAACCCCTCCTTTTAGATCCGCACCGGCGACGATGTGTTCCGCATTCGGGGCCTTATTTAACCGCAAAAAAAAACTCCGGCGAAATCTCAAATAATCCTCCCCTGCGTAACCAAAATTACGCGAAATTCAATCGAAATCCGAAAACGAAAGTAACAGAGCGTGAAGAATTCCAACAAGCAGAAGGTGTGATGAAGGAAGATCCAGATGCAGATTACCTGTGAGATACGAAGACGGAGCGACGAATTCGGACGGGAAATCAAACAGCGAAAATTATCCAATCCAAACAGTGAATCGTCCCGATTTCCGGTTGTAGGCCCGGTTATCCCAATACGGAATCGCTCTCTCTCTCTCTAGAATCTCTCTCTAGAATTGCTCTTCGTTCTTGTGAGTGGGCAGTGGGTGTTCTGCGTTCTCGCTCCCCTGATACTTAAAAAGAGAAAAGGGCCGTTCTGAGCTCCGTTCCGTGAAAACGGAGTGCCGCTCACGGCGTTGCAGCGATTAACGACGTTTGGATGCGGTTAACGGTTTCTTCTATCGGGAATGCCGTCAGCTTGACGTGCTAATTCTTTCTCTTTTTTTATTACGGAGAGTACTTTTTTTTAGGATCCCAATAAAAAACTTTGCGAAATTACTCACGCCCTAAAATAGCCGAATCAAACTTGTGCGTCATTTCCATTTAGGCTTGTTTGGATGAAGAGAAAAAATAGATAAAAAAATCGAACAACAATAATGAGAAAAAAAATTAGTGTTTGGATACTTAAAAAGGGATAAAAAGTAAGGATTAAAACGGCGGGAGAAAAGGATGTAATTTTTTCTTTGCTTCTCTTTTCTTATCATCCAAACAGATGTCCATAGTCTTTTGCTTTGTCATCCCGAAAAAATTAATATCACGTCCTCTTCTCGATAACTTTTACATATTCCCTTCTGTGTTTTCATAATTTATATGTACTTTCTTATTTCTATACCAATTTATAGACAAAATTATTTTGTTCAATGAGTTTTTATACGTTGTTCTAAAAGCGTACATGAGTTTAGGTTAGGTGAAGTGTAAGGTTTCTTACTCTTTACATTCATAAATTATCTTCATATTCACTATTTCTATAATAAAATATTATTTACTTTGTTTGCCTATTTTCATTACTCATTTGATAAAATGATATATAATTGTAACACCTCTAATTTTATAGATCCTTTGATATATTCAATTGTTAAAGATATAATTATTATTTCTGAATTTCATACCAATTTTCATACAGATAAATTAAAAATAACTTCAATCAAGACAACCCAATTTTTTTTGGGGCACCAATAACCAAATTGATATTTTTTTAAACATTTTGGGTAGTGATAGTGTAATTACCTAACCGGGTAAACTATTCTAGATCGGGTCTAGGATTGTTTACTTGATTCGGGAAGTAAAAAGGTAAAAACACACAAATATGACCGGGAGGACTTTAGGTGGAAACACCTGTAGCCCAATTAATATTATAACAGAGAATGCACGGGTGCTTTTACATGAGAGTTTAGAGAGAATAAATTCGGATCCACACTTCTGAGGATTACAACAGTATTTATACCAGGTTAAGGGGGGACAGAGTATCATGCAGGCACGTTCAGGCACGTTTTCGGATGGTGAGAGGTGATGGGCTTCGTCGTTTAGCTGCCTTGTCGCCTTGTGAGGAAGATTACTTCCTTTGTCAGGTAGCGCTTTGGATGGAATGTTCAAGCATCTCCAGCGATTCTCCACTGATTTTGGTCGCTACAGTCCAAACCACTTTGGATTCTTTTCTGCCGATGCTTCCCAACCCTAGAAACTACACCGGGTAGTTTCCCAAGGATAAATTTACCGCGTTTGAGGAATGAATGAGACAATGGAGTAGTTTGCCTTTCAAATACGTTCTTCTTGACCGGTCAACGATTTAGTCCTCTCTTTTTGACCGGTCTTGGGTGGAATACACCCATCAGGTAGTTACTACGGAGTATTTAAAAAAAAAATCGTGGGGCAATTTACTCTTTTATTTGTTTAATATAATTTTATTTCTATTTTTATCTTTAAAAAAAGAAATAGGTGGCTTACCATGCTTATGCATTGTTTATTTCTTCAATATTACTCTCTCCGTCCCTAAATAAAGTTCCATTTTTGACTTTTTTAGGATTTAAGGGGGGATATTTTGGTGTTGACTTTCCAAAAATACCCTTGATGTGATGTGTTAAAGTAAGATGTGATAGGTAGATTATTAGTAAAAAGATATGATGTGATAGGTAGGGTATGAAAAAGTAAGGGGTAAAAGGGGTTTTTTAAGGGAAAAGAAAAGTTTATTCAGGGACAAAGAAAAAACGGAGTGCTTTGTATTCTTAAGTTTTTTATACAAATTTAAAATATCATTTTCATCTGAAATTTACATTAATTTAAACAAACTCAATTAAAAATACTTTAATTTTTTTCTTGAAAGGAAAATAATTCTAGTTAAATATCGTGATAAGGAACTTTAAAAAAATCTTATTTTCGGAATCCAATGGAGACCAATCCACCACCACCACAGATGGCGGAGGGAGGGGCGGCATGTAGATGGTGTGGGCCTAAATTAGGAACTATCCACCGAAAGGAAGTGCTTTTACGGTTTTACCCTCCTGGCCATTGCTATGGCCACACGTTCTTCTTCTTGCGCCCTGTTTTTTTGTCTTGTGCTGCCAAATTTATCTCTACACACATGAACATAATCGTACTTTGCTAAAGTACATAATAATAAATGCACTATCCCTCCCAGTTTACGCCCAATTTCACATTAGGTTGGAAACAATGAAATATTAGAGTAAATAATACTCCCTCCGTCTTAAAACTTTCTTCCCGTTGCGCAAAACGAAAAAAAATCCCTAGTTTTTTCAATCAATTTTTTTTTGAACCGAAAGCAAGATATATTTCACTCCTCAAGGAAAATATACGTACATCATCATGTTTAGAAACAAAACACAACCCTACTAATAATTATAAACTAGTTAGGTTATAAAATATAGGGCTATTCCATAATGATTCCTTTAGAGTTGAGAAAGATGGTCATATGAGTGTGAATTCTTTGGCTGACTGCTCCAGGTGTAGTAGGGAGGTTCTTGTGNTTTTTTGAACCGAAAGCAAGATATATTTCACTCCTCAAGGAAAATATACGTACATCATCATGTTTAGAAACAAAACACAACCCTACTAATAATTATAAACTAGTTAGGTTATAAAATATAGGGCTATTCCATAATGATTCCTTTAGAGTTGAGAAAGATGGTCATATGAGTGTGAATTCTTTGGCTGACTGCTCCAGGTGTAGTAGGGAGGTTCTTGTGAAGAACTTCATTTCTAGCTTTCCAAATGTTGTATACACAAGCTGCAAAGATGGGAGCTATCTTCAATCTTCTTTTAGCTGGGGAGATGTTGGTAATTCGTTGGGTAACCTCTTCAATGGACTTGGCCTGAAAGTCAAATTGAGCCCATGTAGAGATCAGTTGATAAGTCTCTTTGGTAAAAGAACATCTACAGAACAGATGATGACTATCTTCTTCCTCCTGGTTGCAAAGATGGCATTGAGGATCAACAGGGAGGAATCTGCTTATTCTTTTCTTCGTTTGCAATCTGTCCCTATACATTAACCAGATAATGAATTTGTGTTTTGGGATGGAGAATTTGTTCCATACCAGGTTACTCCAAGGAACCTTATGAAAATCCCCCACAAGCCATATATAGCTTGCTTTAGGTGTGTAGGCACTACTGCAAATCATATTGGTGAAGCACCCTCTAATTTGCAGGAGTTTTTTCCAGTAATAGCAGGAATCCCTTTGAATCTGACAGTCCCAAATACTGCATCCCTTGAGATATTTGTTGTGGATCCATTTGATCCATAATATGTCCTTCTTTAAAGATATGTCCCAAATCATCTTCATGATGCTAGCTTTGTTCCATAATGTTAGATTTTTGAGCCCTAAACCTCCATTTGTTTTTGGCCTGCATAGGTCCTCCCATGAGACTAATGGGGTTCTTCTATGATCAGGTGAGGATCCCCATAGAAAGTCTCTGCATAGAGCTTGAATCTTGTTCAATACTTTAGACGGGATGATAAAAAGTCTGCTCCAGAATGTAATGATCCCGTAAAGAACTGAGTTGATAAGTTTCAGTTTCCCTGCGTAAGATAAATTCTTAGAGGACCACGAAGAGATTCTAACTGTCATTTTATCAATAAGTATATTGCACTCCTTATCACTAATCCTCGAGGAGGTAATTGTGCCACCTAAGTATCTGAAAGGAAAGGATCCTTTTCCCATCTTGGTGATGCTTAGTAACTTTTCCTCCTCTTGTCTGGGTACCCCTCCAAACACGATTTCTGATTTAGCTAAGTTAACCGAGAGACCAGTAGTATCCTTGAAGTGTGCAAGGGGTATGAAGGATGCAGTTGACAGACTTTTCATCAGCTTTGGCGGCAACTATAAGATCATCCGCAAAAACGAGATTGATAATTTTCAAGGATTTACATAGGGGGTGGTACGTGAACCTTTCTTTTGTTGCATAATATTGGAAGGATCTTGAGAGATATTCCATTAAGATAACAAATAAGAGGGGGGAAATTGGGTCACCTTGCCTGATCCCTTTTCCTCCTTTGAAGAACCCAAAGCTTTCTCCTCCGAGCTGTATAGAGTAGGAAGGGGTAGTCATGCAGAAATTGATCCATGTGATGAACATGGAAGGGAATTTCATTAATGTGAGGAGCTGTTCAATTGCTTTCCAACTCACATTATCATAAGCTTTTTGCAGATCCAGCTTCATTAGGAGTCTCGGGGAGATGTTTTTCCTATTGTAACCTCTTGCAAGTTCCTGACAGAGAAGTACATTATGGACAAGTTCTCTCCCTTCTACGAAGGCCCCTTGATTGAGATTTATTATTGTGGGCAGTATCTTCTTAAGTCTTCCACAAATGACCTTAGATATGACTTTGTAGATCACATTACAACAAGCAATAGGCCTCAGATCAGTGGGGCTTTTTGGGTTGTCTTTCTTGGGAATAACCGTGATGTTAGTGGAATTAATCTGTTTGAGAGGCACACCATTTTGGAAGAAGTCTTGGATAGCTTTGGTGACAAGTCCCCCGACCACATTCCATTGGTGTTTGAAAAATCCACTAGAGAATCCATCTGGACCTGGACTTTTATGGTTTGGGATTTCAAACAGGCAATTCTTAATTTCTTCCTGAGTGGGGGAAGCAATGAGCATCAGCTGTTGTTCAATATAGAGGCATTTACCCATGTTCACAATGTCTTTCATAATATCAAGGGTATCATTTGGGATGCCTAATTGTTTCTGAAAATAGTTAACCAACACTTTGGCTACCTCTTTCTTTCCTTCTACCAAAAGGCCATCTTCATTGGTGATGGAGGTGATTTGGTTCTGTAGTCTTCTTTTCTTTACCCATGCATGAAAATATTTAGTATCCTGATCACCATAGATGAGCCAGTCAGCCTTGGATTGTTGACTTTTAAGAAGAAAGTTTGCTTTCAGCTTTAAATGGAGCTCTTGCCTTAGTTTTTCCTCTGTCTTCAGGGTTTGTGCATCAATCTGGTTCTTCAGTATAGCTTGTGCAGACAGAAGTTCGGTTCTGATTATATCAATTTGTTTATCAAGGTGCTGGAACTTCTGTCTATTAAGACTCTTCAAAGGAGATTTAAGGAGTTTCAACTTCTGCACTACTTGTAACATAGTTGTTCCTTCATGTTTCTCTTCCCATACTTCTTTCACTATTTGAGGAAAATGGGGATCAAGAGTCCACATATCACAGAACTTGAAGCTATGTCTAGTGTCATGTTTAACCTGTTTAAGGATCATGGCAGAATGATCAGAAATACCTCCCTCTCTGAAGTGGGCTTTAAAATTGAAGTTAATAATCCATTCAATATTTCCCAGGATTCTGTCCAGTTTAGAGTAGATGCGCTTTCCAATGCCCTGATTATTACACCATGTATATTTGGAACCTTCAAAAGGCAAATCCTCTAACCCACAAAGATTAAGGCAATCCATAAATTCCCTGCTCTCTTCCCTATTCACTGGATTTCCCCCTATTCTCTCATCCATCTTCAACACTATATTAAAATCTCCTAGCACACACCATGGAGCAGTCATCATATTCTTTTGTAGAAAAGTCCACAGGTCTCTTCTCTTACAGGATTCATTGTGTGCATAAATAAAGGTAAGAAAGAAGTAATTATCTTCATCTAGTATTTTTGCTTGGCAGTGCACAGCTTGATCAGAAACATCCAATATTGTAATGTGGACCTTATTAGTATTCCATATGATCCAAATCCTGCCTAAGGGGTGAACATTATTGTTAATAAAGGAGCCCCAACCATCAAATAATCTGTCTTTTATTTGAGAATAGTTAACCTCCCTAATCTTAGTCTCCAAGAGACCAATGATAGAAAGGTTAAATTTATTGATGAAATCCTTCACTTCATTCTGTTTATTATGGCTATTAAGCCCTCTTATGTTCCAGCATCCAATCATAAGAGAAAGGGGTAGTGCCCCTCATAGGGGGCTAGACTCAGGTCCTTATGTATCATACCAATAAAGGATTCTTCCTTCCCTTCTAGTGACTTTCCGCGTGCTGCTTTCTTTTTACTCACTTTAGTAAACTCTTCTTCTTTGTTTCCTGAATTTTCTGTCATCTCGGGGTTGTCCTCAGCCCCTTCTTTATACTTAGGATCTTTTGGTGTAACCACTTCAACTTCTTCATTCTTATTGTCCTTCTGATTAAGTTTTGGTCTCCAAATAGGTTTCAATCTGGGTGGTTGCCCTGCTACTATTTTTTTCTTCCTGCATTTATCTGCCACATGTTCTATCCTACCACAATGAGAGCAAAGGGTAGGCGCCCATTCGTACACAATAGATTATGTTATAATTCTCCCTTCCTCATTAATAAAATGGATTTGATCTGGAAAGCTTTGGTTAACTTGAACTTCAATTTGTATGCGAGCATAAGACCATCTAGTTCTGGCAGCAGTGGCTCCATCTCTTCGGATAGGCTGCCCTATGGAGCTTCCTATTTTGCTTAGGGCAGATAGTCCCGAGTACTTCATATCCAGGTCTGGGAGTTGAATCCAAATAGGGATATCCTTGCGCCCTAGAATATCAACCTTAACACCAGGATACCAGATCTGCACATAGACGGGTTTATTGTCCATGTAATAGTATTTCCTTTTAATGATTTCATCTCTATCTTCTTTTTTCTTGAATCTGACAATGAATTGGCCTTCTTTTAAAAAAGATACATCATCAATTCCATAGGTTTTCCAGATACGATTGAGAAATCCTTTGACAATCTCCAGAGGAGGATTAGCTCCCAATATACAACAGATCAAAGCAGAATCCCAGTAATTTCCAGGTTCGATCACATCATCATGAGTCAATCTAGCTATAGATTTGCCATCAATTACCTCTGTTGGGATGAATTTCAGATTGAAATTGAGTTCTTCCTGAATTCCCACAGCTTCTGCAAAGGTTTTCGTTGGTGATTCTACCTGGATCTCCGGCGTATTCTCTATGTTGGTTTGAGTCGTAACTTGATCTATAGTCTCTGAGATTTGAGGTGTTGTTGATGATTGTGGATCCGAGATAGGAACATTGTGCGATTGCAGATTTCCATGAGTGTTTTGATCATCTCCGGCGATTTTTCCGTCCAGTTTTGGCGGTCTCCCTCTCCTTCCCATGGTTAGAGAGAGGAACCCTTCCAAATATTGGTATGAAAAATAAAAAATAAAACATACATATTTAAAACTACATCAAAAGTTCAACAAAACAAGTGGTGACACGAATATTTTATTTTATCATATAGGCCATGAAAAGACACAAATAAATATAAATTCTCGTGAAGTTGGAATAGTGCTCTGAGAAGAAAGTTTTAGGACGGTGGAGTATTGCTACTTGAATTGTGGATTACGTAATAGAGAATGGAAATGAGAGATTACTAAGGTTGCGTTTCGTTCACATCTCATCTGATTTTTTGAAGATCTGATCTGGTCTGATTTGATCCGGTCTGATCTGATTGCAACTATAATTAAAATTGTTTCTGATCTGGTTTGGTCTGATCTGGTGTGGTCTGATCTGATTATAATAAAAATAAGTAATAAGTGGAAAAAAACAAGTTGAACGGAACATTGTCTAACACAACTAAAAATAGAGAATGGAAAGTAATTAAAGTACAACATGTACTATAAATAGAAATAAGAAACTGACTAATAATCAAACACTACCGTGACTAATACTACTATAAGCAATACTCCGTACTATATATTATTATTGTCTAATAGTTACGTATTACTGTAGTAGAAGTTTATGTTAGATTGGACACGATGGTTAAAACTATGTTATTCTATTTGAAATGAGATATGTAAAGAGTCTTTTTCGACTATTTTGTGTCAGAATTTGTACAATTACACATTGTACTTCTATGAATTGTACGTCAATACTGATGGAATCAGATGTATATAGATGTACTTATACTAATTAGCAATTACGCTTCTACTAAGTAAAAGAGGAGAGTTCCAATTCAACCATTCTCGGGCCTTCAATTCACGCAAGAGAGGGGCGATGTGTCTACCTCCATCACACCAACATGGTTGATCGATCGAGACACATCGAAAAATATGAAATGGTTTAGGTAGTCGAATATGTGTTGGAATTTTGGTCGGAGGGAAAGTAATGTTGCAAAGAAGCGTTATAGAAGATATCATACAAAGAACGAGAATAACGTCTTATAGAAGATATTATAACAAATCGCGTAAAGCATTTTCTAGTAAAATTAAAGTTAGTTAGAAAAATATCAAAATAATTCAATCGGATAATACGAAAATACAAGATTGAGTATAGATCTTCTCGTGTCTCACAAAACATATCGAAGTCAAGTCATTATACGTATTATGAATGGACGTGTTTGAAAACATGAAGTCACACCCACGCGTGAAGAGATGCTTGTGGTTAAAGGTCATTTCAACGTAAATATGTCGTGTTCAAAAGTTAAAAAAGAATCGATGCCGACCAAGAACTTTTCTCCTTGGACCTGCTATCACCGGTCCAAAAGGTGGATCTATCTCCTCCACCATCCCCACCCCCTGGCCCAACAAGGATGGTGGAGGAGATAGATCATGGTGACTCAGTCGGTCAAGAACGCTAGATCCGTGCCTACCGCGCACAAGGAGCCTCCTCGCCCTTTATGAGATTTTGGGATAGCTCCCACACTGGCGCTTTCGGGATTCGATCCCTGGTCATCAGATTAGAAGGAGGGAGTGTCTTACCTTTGAACTCACTAAAATTTATAGAAAATCTTGATTAACCAAGATAGATGATTACACTAAAATCACCAATAATATTGATATAAAAGAAATGTCCATTATAAGAGTAATTTCCTTAAAAAGGTGAATTAAATTAAAAGTAAATTAGCGTAGAGTGAAAAATAAAAAAGGGAATGTGGGGTCGGTGAGTTTGACCAAGGAAGCTCACGTGCAATTTACACATAAAGACAAAAAAAAAGGTGCGTGTCAAAGGCAGTACCACTCTGGCCTCTGCACTTGAGTTTGGACTTTGGACGAAATGGACCTTCTTTGTCCATTGCCCATCATCCACCCACACTATTCTCATTATTCTCCATTCTTTTTTTTACCGAGTATTTCTTTCGACTTATGGATCATTTCAAAGGTGAATATTACTCGACACAAGTTTCTTTCTCTCTATGTGATCTGATTTTGTAAAAATCTAATTTGATTTAAGCTAATTATGTTTAAATATATTTTGATTTATTATCAGTGTATAAGTTTTTGAGTTGAAATAAATAATCAATTGAATTTAATTAATTATTTAGTTTAACTCAAAAACTTGTATATCGATTTATTTTCTCTCCAATTTTCGATGTGAGATGTATTCTTTAACACCCTCTTTCAAGTGGACAACTAGACTATTTTGAATCTAAACGATTGACCACATGCAAATAGACTCCGCTCCCCGGAAAGTGAAATGATCAAAACTGCCAACACTTAAAAGATCACGAATCGCTAGACAAGGACTTCCAGACAAACAATCAGGTTATATGGCCCACATGTCGTTTTCTATACGCACAACTGGCTAAAAATAAATGGGCCGTTAGAAATGAAGTTTCAATTTATTTTAATAGAATCATAATTATTCTTTTTCAAACAAAGTTTTGATTTGTTTTAATAAAATCTGAAACTGTACGATAAAAATTTATTCGAATGAGAGGTAAACAATAATGGTCCGTTTGGTACACGAAATTAACAGAATTTGTAATTGAAATCCTATGGAATTAATTTAAATGTAATTGAATTCTTCAATTTCAATTAACTTTTGGCACTATCAATTCCAAATCCACATTTTTTGTATCGATAAATAGTAGAATTAGAATTATTATTGTCAATTCCAATTACATATATAATTTGAATTTCGTGTATCAAATAGAACCTAAGAATCACTCAATTAATTTCTTTCCTAAATAAAAGAAAATCTATCTCTTTTTTCGTGATCCATATACTTTATTTTTTCTTTGAGTCAGCTAAGGTTTAACCTTAGAATTTAAACTTTATTTAAAAAATTGTGTTAAGGTAAATATGAAATGTAGTATCCATTTTGTCTCAAATTCATCGTCTAGCTTAGCTATTTATATGACACCATTTTCTTCTATTTTTTACTTCTATTAATTATTTATTAAAACAATATAGGCATATTACAATGCAACGGTTTATCTTGAACGTTTGCTATTTTTATATATTTTATCATCTCTAAAAATAAAAACTCAAAACACGTTATTCATAATATACTTCCTCTAACCTAAAGTTTTCTTCTAGTTTGGTTTCCGAGGTTTAAGAAAAATTATTTTCAACTAATATAGATGTAAAATTAAAAAATAAAAAATATAATATAAAACTACATAACAAAAGGTGACATAACTACATTATATTATCTAATTACCAACAAAAATAGGAAAAAAATAATTAAAATTTGACAAGTGAATAGTATCTGAGAAAAAATTTTATGATACAGAGAGTAACAATCAATTTAATACGAAAGAAGAACATATTACTCCGTATTACATAAGAAAATGACTTACGTTTTAGTATTATTCAGTGCAAATTTCACATTAATGTATCGTAGAAGTATGGGACGAAAAGTGATTATGTTTAATTTGGAATAATTATGGAAGTGTTATTAATTAGAAAAACTAAGGCGTACATCATGTCAATTAGGGAGCACCAAACATGGTGCTTGTGTTTTGATGAAATAAATTGATTTAGTAGAAGACAAAGAGAACAATTAGTTTGAATGATTGGCTTGTGCTACCTATGATTTATTTATTTATTTGTGTTATAATACTCCGTAATTAATTTTTTTATTCTTTCAAGATTTTTTTCCATAAATAGACACATACTCCATCCGTCTCATAATAAAGTGAAATTTTTTTCTATTTATTTGATTTAAATATTAGTATGTAAATAAAAATTAAATAATGTTTAAAACCCGGGTCAAAATCTTTTTGAAACAACTTGTGACAAACATTTTAAATTTCAATTATCCAAATTTAAATATAAATATTTCAAATTCTAATTTCAATTTTAAAATTTTACATTTAAAATTTTAAATATTAAACATTAAATCTAAAAATATTTAAACTTTCAATTTCAAAATTTTTAATTTTAGGTTTTAAAATTTACAATTTAAATTTTGATTTTAAAATTTAACTATTATATTTTAAATTTTAAAATTTAAATATAGATTTAATGTTTTAAATTTTAATTTTTGATTTTTTGAATTTGAAATTTAATAATTTTAAATTTAATTTTAGATTTTATATTTTTGAATTTTTAATATTGAATTTTTAATTTTAAATTTTAAATTTAAAATAGAAAAATTTACTCTATTTTTAAATTTTAATTTTTTAATTTTTACTTCTTCATTTTTAATTTTTAATTTTAGTTTTAATTTTTTTTATTTTATTTTCAAAATTTTTAGTTTTGAATTTTTGGCTTTTACTTTTAGATTATTCATTTTAAATACCTAAATTTTTACAATTTATTTTTAATTGTTAACTAATAATTTTAAATTTTTAATTTTAGATTTTAAATCCTAAGTTTTAAAATTTAAATTGTAAATTTTAAATGCCAAACTGACAAATTTTAAATTTCAATTTTTATAATTTTATGTTTTGTTTTTATTTTAAAATTTTGAATTTCAAATTTTATGTTTTAATTTATATATCCTATTTGTTTGTTATAATCCAAAAAAGAATTTTCGTGATTTGGTTTGAACCCATTTCGAATTAGAATTCAATTCCAATTCTACTGATTTTTGTGTTACCAAACACCGGAATTAAAATTAGATTTTTTAATTCCAATTTCATGTCTCAAATTTTGTGTATCAAAATAATCAAACAGAGCCTTAGAGTATATAACCAATTTTTCTTCCCTTCTCTTTTTTTTAACAAACTAAAGAAAATATATATAGTTTAGTTACTTTAGTATGTTTCTCTCCTCTTACTTTTTATTCTTTCGTTTTCTCTTGATTCAAACGTGACCGAATTAATTACTCCCTCCGTCCATGTATGATCTTCCCATTATGCGTTACGAGGCTTGACCGACTTTATTTTAAATTCAATTTAATTGATTATAGGAGTAAAATTCCAAAATAAAATTTATATAGTAATAAACTACATGAAAAATTCTACAAAATTAAAGGTGACAAGACTATATTATTTTATGAAATGATTAATAAAATTGAGCAAACAAAGTGAGTAAAGTTTGACCCTGTGAATAGTGTCTGGGAAGATCTATGGTGGACAGAGGGAGTACATACCATTTGTTTGGAAGAAGAAAAAAAATAAGGATTGAAAAAAATCAAAAATTAAAATCAGGGGATGAATGGATATAATATGTATGGTACGGTGAAGAAAAATAAGAGAAGATAGAGCATATTTATTTACTCTGGATTTTTCTTCATTAGATAATTGCATTACTTGTCGAGGAATTAAAGTTCTGTTCCGTCCTAATTTGATCTAATTTTTTTGAAGTTCTAATCTGGTCTGATATGATGTGATTTGATCTTGTCTAATCTAATCTAATATAAATTTGATTAAAATAAAATTAAAATTAAAATCAAAATTATGATTATAGTTATAATAATAGTAATAAAAAAATAAAAGAAATAATAACAATAATAATAGAAATAATAATAGCAATAGTAATAATGATAGAAATATTAATTATAATAATCTTAATAATAATAGTAATAATAATAATAATAATAATAATAGTAATAATAATAATATAAATAATAATAGAAATATTGATAATAAAAGCAATTATAATAATAGAAAAAATAATAATACTAGTAATAGTAATACGGAGTAATACTATTAGTAGAAATGATAATATTAATAATAGTAGTAATCATAATAATAATGGTAATAATAATATTAATAGTTATAGTAATAGTAATAATTGATGTAATAATAATAATAATAATAATAATAATAATAACAGTAATAATAATAACAATAGTAATAATAATTATAATCATAATAATACTAATTTTGTTGAGATTTTTGAATTTGATTTGATCTGATATTTAATTAAAAAATAAGTAATAAATAGAAAACATAAGTTTAATGGAACGATATAATTAATGAAAATAGATTAATTTTGTTCCCTTTAAATAAATTAGAAAGTGGAAACACGCAATTCTT